ACTACCAGATCCAATCTTATCTTCTGCCACCTAAGATCCAACCCTCTTGAAAATCCGTCTGGGCCGTTAAATTGTAAGCCAGCCTAGCCCAAATCCAGCCTATTGATTTTATTGATAATTGGGCTTTACCTTGACATGTGGCCTTACCCTATTGGTTTATTTTAGGTGTAAACAGTTGTCTATACCGATTTACCACTGAGAAAAATATTGCAGAAACCTGAACTCTCTGGTCGTCTTATTGGATGGAGCGTCGAGCTGAGTGAATATGACCTGAAATTTCGGCCGCGCACAACCATTAAAGGCCAGGCCGTTGCGGACTTTCTGGTGGAGTGCACCTCAATAACTAACAAAGAAAAAACACCTGAACACCCAGTCTGGGTTTTATATGTTGATGGAGCAGCTAACATTGAAGGGTCGGGTGTTGGGGCTGTGTTACTTGGCCCAGATGGCTTTAAGTTTGAGCACGCACTGAGGTTTAAGTTTCAGACGACCAATAACGCTGCAGAATATGAAACCCTCATTTACGGACTAAAGCTGGCATCCGAGCTGAAAGTACAAAACATTCAGGTTTTTAGTGACTCATAGCTTGTAGTGGGCCAGGTGAATGGCAGCTGCGGCATCAGGGATCCCCAGCTCAGTCGTTATGCCTCTGTGGTCAACAGATTGAAATCGATATTTGCCCTTTTCCAAATTGATAAAATACCAAGAGCAGACAACCACCGAGCTGACGAGCTGTCAAAGTTGGCCTCCTCGCAGGACATTAATCCTCAGAGATCAACAATTATCGAGGTACTCGACGCACCGAGCTACATTGATTTCACAGTCGAATGTCAACTGCTAAGTACAGATCCCTCTACACCGAGCTGGACCACCCCGCTCGTAAATTATCTACAAAGTGGCGAGCTACCTGAAGACCAGTCCGCTGCAAAAGTGATTAAACGCAGGGTGGCACATTTCACTGTGTTAGATAACCAGCTCTACAAGCGAGCAGCCTCAATGCCCCTATTACGCTGCCTTACTCCTTACGAAGCTGAATACGCCGTGAGAGAAGTTCACAAAGGAGTATGTGGCACGCACATCGGTGGCAGAACTTTAGCTCGGAAACTCCTAAGGCACGGTTATTACTGGCCCACTATGGTCGAGGACGCACAGAACTACGTCAAAAAGTGCCCGACCTGCCAGTTCAATGCCGACGATATTCATATGCCAGGTATCCGAGCTCGTTCTAAAGTTTATGCAAACTTAGTGACTATCTATGAACTGAGCGTAAGTATCTTTGTTAAAATAGGACAAATGCTCTCATCACTTACGTCTCCTTGGCCCTTTGCTTAATGGGGTGTTGACCTGCTCGGCCCTTTCATCAAAGGCAAAGGAGGCTGCACTTTCCTGGTCGTTGCAGTGGATTACTTCGCTAAGTGGATAGAAGCCAAACCACTGTCCACAACAACGGAAAGAAAAATAGAAGAATTTTTGTTCAATTCAATTTTGTGCAGGTATTCTTTGGTGACCGAGGTCATAAATAAAATATATGCAAACGTGATTTGTAGCTCAGCTCACTCATCTGTGTGCAGATTCGGCATACCTAAGCGAATTATCGCCGACAATGGGCCACAGTTCCGAGCAGCAGCACTGAGATCGTTTTGTAACGACTATGGCATTGAGCTTGCTTTGACATCCATGTACACTCCACAGTCCAATGGGCAAGCCGAGTCCGCCAATAAAATCATCTTGCGAGGACTCAAGACGCGCGTCTTGGCTGCACAAACTAATTGGGTTGACGAGCTCAATAAAGTGCTGTGGTCATGTCATACTACAGCCAGCTCGGCCACAGGCGAAACCCCGTTCAATCTAGCATACGGAGCTGAGGCTGTTATCCCCGTCGAGTCGGACTGCCATCCGATAGATCAGATCGTCATGACGATCAGAATAATGAACAGCTCTTAAGAGAAAACCTAGACCTTGTGGAAGAAATCAGGGAGATGTCCCGAATAAGAAACATGGCACATCAAAGTTGTGTTGCAAAATTTTACAATTAAAGGAACTTTAAGGAACCCAGCTCGGTTTAAGCACGGTCCCTCTCGCCCTCAGCCTTCTTAGCCCGCTCTTCAACTCGAGCGGCCTTGTCCTTTCCCGCTTGAATCCCGCTTTCTTTTTCGGCACGGACTCGCTCTAGCTCCTCCTTGAGCTCGTTGATCCTATGGGCGAGCTCATCCGCTCGGCTCTCTGCAGCCGCAGCTCGGTTTGCCATTTCGGAGCCTTGCAGACGATTCACATTGTCCACAAGGCTAGCCTTTTCTACAGCCAGCTGTTTGCACTTGGAACCGAGCTCGCTGTTCTTTGTACGAGCCCTCTGCTCGCTCTCGTACAGTGCTACAGCGTAGCTGAATGCTTGCCAGATAGCGACACTCGTAAGTACTTAGTAAACAAAAGTAAAACACTTATGTACGGACAAATACTTACATCCATTAGCTTGATCATGGCGACCTGCTCGCCATGCTGCTGCACAAATGCTTTTGCCCGCTTACTGTCTGCGGGGGGCACAAAGTTGTGCATGGCTTGCACCATGGCAGGCTGACACTCCGCCCGCACATAGGTGAAGCCCTCAGGATAAGCGATCCTGGGGCCCGACGTTGAAGCTGAGACAGAGACGGGCTCTACTACAGCCCGCGCAGTCGCTGGCGGCACAGCGGGTGAGCGCACGGTTGTAGGACGCGCCGCCTGTGCGGGCTGAGTCCCCCCGCTTATTCTGCGCCGAGCAAGGGGGACCTCATCCTCCTCGCTCTCTATCTCCTCGTGTGCACGTCTGCGTGCACCAGGCGCCGCAGCCTCAACCCTGTGATCGGCTCGTGGCCTTGACGATGAGTTGGATCCCCGGTGTGACGAGCCGCGTGATTGAGGCGCCGGGGGTGGCCGCTCGTCAAACCTTGTCTGCCGGGGTTGCGCGCTGCCCGACGCACGATCTCGTGAGCCTTGGGCTCGCTGTCGTTGGCGTTCCAAGATGCTGCTCATGTCTCCTGCACAGAAAAACGCATAAGACTCAGCTCGGCTAGAACTAGTACTATATGATAAAAACATACCTTCGCTGAACAGGTTTGTCACATCGACAAACCCGAACACGGCGAGATGCTCCGAGGTAACCAGGGCTTCTAGATCTATTAGACCCTCCCTCTGCGCATACTTAAGCAGCTGGTTCTTCAGATCGACATCCCGGGGCAATAGCTGAGGATAGTTGATATGAGCGTTGAGGGTGCGCCACTCAGACAGCTGGGCAGCGAGGTCGTTGCTTATCCTTTCTGCTCGTGTGTCGCGAACAAAAATAAACTGTCTCTTCCACCTCGCCACCTTGTTCCTCACATTTTTGAAGAGCTGGCTCTTATTCCTCCCAGAGAGGTAGTACCACTTCGCTCCTCGTGAGTTCGGACACAACCGGCACTGGAATAGCGACCTGAACACTATCGCTTTAGCTGGTACCTCCAATCTCGCGCACAACAGCATAAAGCCTATGATGAACCTTATGCTGTTGGGCGTTAGCTGCGTCAGCGCCAGCTCGTAATCCGCGAGCAGATCGAATACCAGGCCGGCCAGGGGAAACCGCAGGCCGGCATCAAAGTGGTTCGCGTACACTGGTATCCAGCCCGTTTGCGACACTGTGCACGCCCTTTCGTTCTACCCGCCTGTCCGCAGCAATATGGTCTTGGGGATGTGGTACACCCTCACCATCTCCTCGAGTCTTTTATACCCACTTATGGAGGGCGCACAGTCTGCTACTTCATGATGAAGTGCAGCCTTGAACCTGAATCCAGCGAGCAGGTCCTTCGATGCTTTTCGTAGGTTACTCAACCTGCCCGGGATTGTCACGCCTTCCCATTCCCCAACCACCAGCCGATCTGAGACACTGCTCACCACATCCCCCATCCCTTCTTTACGGCTGGGTGTCTCTTCAGTAGACGAGCTGCTAGAAGACGCAATAGGAAGGTCGCCACCATCATCCCCAGTGCTCGAACTGGTGCTTCCCTCATACGCCATCGTTTCCGGTGAATCCTGCAACTCAGGCGGCACTATCATCATGATAGGCTCCACTGACAAAATCCCTTCCTCTTCTCCTTCTCTGCCCTGGTTACCTCGTTACTCTGTAAGTTCTCTCAATGAAACCATTTTACCTGAAAGTATTGCGAAGTTGATTCGGCGTACTGAGTCTTCAAGCTGGAGCGTTTCGCTGGAGAGAATTCTGGAAAGTTCAAGCAAACACAGAAATGAAAATGGAAAAGGAAACGGTTACGCAGTGAAGGATATGGCAGTGTTAATTGCCGTACGCGTGTTTCTGACGCGCCAACTAGCGTCCCACACGTGGCAGGCGCTTAACGCCCCTCCTGCATAACGTGCGCCAGCTTTAGCTGTCACGTCCCTCGAATGCTGAGCCAGCATTTATGACGGGGAAGGCAGAGAGATATGGGAAGTTCAATCGTATCTCCTCAGAGATTTGCTTGACTCAAAAATCCCAAGATTCAAATTGTAACTGCTGATGTATACCCTATATTGTCACATCAGCTCGCCATTGTGAGCACAGCTACCAGGTCGTTACAAAGATGACATATTCGCCAGATCGGCTCAACCGTGCCAGTTCGTTCACAAGTGTAGATCGTTTACTAAATCCCCCTAGATTCAGCTCATCACATATCGTGGCAACGACCACATTTGTCAGGTCGTTACACGTATCGCAGCTCACACCAGGCCGCAAACCTTTGCATAAATCAATGGGTGCCTGAGGTCGCCCTATTTGACAGCACTACTCATGCGAGCTGATAAAGTGGGGTCGCATCGCCTCACCTCATAATCATGGCTAACTGAGCGTCACCTGGTCGCACTTCGGTAGTACTCAAAGGTTAGGTCGCCACATGGACAAGCTGAAAGAGGGTTATATACATGGCTGATCCCTGTGCGAGCTCGGCTATCACAAGCCCACACTAGTGTTGCTAAGCATATCAGCTCGCCTCCACGCTTTTAGACTCGCGAGCTCGCCTCTTTTCGTATTACCTCTCAGCTCGGCCATCGCCAAGGTCGGCCGTAAGCTGTTAAAGCTGCCCGTCATAGTTACCAGCTAGAACGTTGACCCACGGTCACATCCATCACAGTTCGTCAACCGAACACCGCAGGGGGGGGGGAATAATGTTGGAATAGGCCCAACAGGGCCCAACGCTCAAACAGGGCTGTGCATAACGGGCCTAGGTTACCACCTATTAACCCAAGCTGAGGGCGCATCAGTACAAGCATACCCATGTGATCAGCGCCACGCGGGTCGAGGGGATGCTTACACGTGCAGATGTATGTCAGCACCTAGGGGCTATAAATACCCCCCAACTACCTCCGATGAAGGTAATTAATCTCTACGCTTCTCTCTCTGCAATTACTCCTTGAGAGTATCTCTCTCTAGAATACTGAGTATTGCTGACTTGAGCGTTGGAGTGTTTTCCCCGAGGAAACAACCTCGGGATTTTCAGGTGTAGAAGCAGCTGAGGACTTCAATAGTGTTGGACTGCGAAGCTGCCGAAACAGCACCAAATGCGCTTTGTCTGTAGTGTCATCACATGTGCTGTCCAGATTGCATCTTTGCTTGAAGGGTTTGT